AGATATATAACAAAACAACACAAATAATATATATATATATATATATATATATATATATATATATATATATATATATATATATAACTCAAAATTAACTCTCTACCACCAGTGGTTGTGGAGAAATGAGGATTCTATGGCTATAACCTTGAAACATTTCAAAGGACGGAAACGCCTTTTCCGGTCATATTTTAGTAAAATGTTCTATTAAAGCAAAGAGAAACATGAATGTTCAGATCAAATTGGCACCAAAATTAACTCTCTACTACCATTGTTTATGGAGATAGCAAGGACTCTATATTAATAGCATTTGAAACATGTCAAAGGTAAAAGATGGCATTTCCGGTCATTTTCTAGCAAACTTTTTTATTAGATCAAATAGAAACATTAATGTTTCGAACAAATTGACATCACAATTAACTCTCTATCACTAGTGGTTGCGGAGATATGATCGCCATATGGCTACGACCTTGAAACGTGTCAAATGTTAGAAACGGCATTTCCGGTCATTTTTTAGCAAAAATGTTCTATTAAAGCAAATAGAAACATGATTATTCTGAACACATAGACACATATACCACCAAATCTCTACTACCAGTAGTTGCAGAGATACGACGATCCTATAGATATGACTTTTAACCCTGACCTTTTGACCTTTCGCCACATTTTGAAAATGTGTTACTAAGCCAAAAATTATTCTTGGACACCCTAAACCAATTTCTGAAGTCAAATTCTCTGGACCTCAAAGTGCATACAAAACCTGGTCTGGCTACTAGGGTAATAAACTGTGTCTGGTCATAGGGATATTAGTACAATTATAGTCCATTAATGTTCACACTGTCCTAACTACAAGGCCTATTTAACAGATTTCGGCCTACTCCACAGTGTTCATCCACGCACTGTAGCTTACTCGATACACTACTGAACTCTGTTTCGCGAGGTAGTGTCGGGCGCAGTGAGGTGCGAGGCTTAATTAATTATTAGGATGCACTCATAAACTTCATCATACACAACTCCTTTTACAATTGTCTTTAAAACGCTAAAACATAGATACGGGCCTATAATTACCGCACTTTGTTTTAGAACCTTTTTTAATACACAGAAACGAAACTTTTTTAATACACAGGAACAACCTTAGCTAAGTAGTGTGGTTTTCCTAGTTCAATGCAATTGATAAAATGAGTTTTGCTAGGGGCGTGATTACTTCAGCAGCTGCATAATTAAATAGGCTTACTTTGCTCGTATTCGTATGCATTTATTATATCATATTTCGCATCCGAATAAACGACGTTAAATTCAAGTCTAGATTCATGCTCATTTTCCTCTTGCGGGGAGTTTCCGGCTGCTGCACCATCGTCATTATGGGTAGCTCTGCTACTGTTTTCCACAGAATTCAACTGAACTACTTCGTTTTGATGCATCTCATAATGGTTACGACTTTCCATTTTAGGACTTTTCTAAATGAGAATTAAACATTTTATTTGAAAGCAAAGAATTTAATCTGTGGTCCTTATTATTTTTCAATGAACAGTTTAACTTATTCGCAAAAACTCAAAAAATAACATGGATTAGGCGACTTTTAAAGTATGACCAGAAGAATAAATTATACTCTTTTTAAGATGTCTGTTCCCGAATTTAATTTTGAATACTCTTCAAATAAATATTGGAATGTCATTATTGATAAAATAAAAAATGATTTTTGGATAGATATCATTAAAGCATGGAAAGAATTTACAATATTGTATGCTCCAAAAAACAAGGGAGTGTTTAGATCCAGTATTTGGCATAATGAATTGACTAAAATTGATGATAAGTGTATTTTTACAAGAAGTGGGATAACAGTGGAATCAAGTACATTAATGACATTTAAGATAAAAATGGTAACTTTTCCACTCTACATGCTTTCCAAGAAAATTATGATATTAAACTTAATTTCTTACAGTTTAATGGTTCAAAAAGTGTTATAAATAGGCAAATTTCCCACCGGTTAGGAACTAGGAAGCAGGTTGGTGCAACCATGTATAGGATTCAAAACTAAAAGTATTAAACAAGACAAAAAAGGTTCTAAACACATTTATAACACTTTCATTTATTCCAATACTGTACATTTCAAATGTATTCAAAAGTGGAACGACACTTTAAACCTGCAAATCGCAATGGTACAAGATATGTGAATATAATTGGAAATCAACCCAAGAAATTAAGTTTCGTTGGTTTTAATTTCGAACTTTAAACCGAATTCTATGTACAAACACTCTATTTGTTAAAATGGGTAAAGGTGACAATTCTCATTGCATGTTTTGTAAAAAATTTGACGAGTCGATTATACATTTATTTTGGGACTGTGATATTATTAAGATCTACTGGAACAGTTTCCAGACTTGGGTAAATGATTCCTTGAAAGTAAATTTAGTGTTGAGTAAAAAAACTGGTCCTTTTGGGAAACTTTGAACAAAGAGATTATGTTTTTAATAATATATTAATGGTTATAAAATTCAATATTAATTTATAAATACAGATTCAAAAATTGTTTGCCTATCTTCAAGAATGCATTAACTGAGATAAAACATAAAACTCTTTCAGAAGAAAAATAACGTCTAAAATGGAATGTATAATAGATTAGTTAGGTTGGAAATGTTTACATTGTAACTTAGTGAGACGTGAAAAAAAACTGTTATGTTTACTCTGTGGCATTACATGGATACCTGGATATGTGGATGAACATTTTTTGGGTTAGGCTCAAGGTACTAGATAGCAGGAAGGAGGAGTATTTTTTGTGTGGACCACCCAAGGATAACCCACCAGGTCCGAAAACATACTCTTCAGTGACGTGCACCGGAAGACAACCTCTTCTCTTTTTCCAAGCACTTACAAAGGTTTAGTTTAACGTAAACATGAGTCATATTGCACATAGTTAAACAACATTAATAAAAAAAAAAAAAGAACTTAAGTAATACTATAATATTTTCATACTTTAATAATGATAATAGGACATCATATTTCAATTTTGTGTTAAAATATGTCAATACTTACACGGATGCAGTGGCATATTAGACAAGTTGTGAAGGAACCAAGAATGAATGATGTAACTGCGGTAACAATGAGGACCGTGAAGGTAGATACCTTGACCGGAAGACCTAGAAAAATTACAGTGATGATGCTTCTAAATATATAATAATTTAAATAAAGTAATCCAATAAGCACCACTCAGAATAAGCGCCGAGGTGTTTATTAAAGATGTTATAGCATTCAATGAATATTGTGGTACTCACATAATCCTTTAAAGACTGATATATTGAGCTCTAAACTTGTCCTTCCTTTTCTGTGTGCGTCATTTTGTACTCTGCATTGGTAAATTCCACTGTCATCAACAGATGCGAATGGTATTCGAATTCGATTAAAATCTTCATATAATTCGTACCTTGAGCTATCGTTGCTGCTGATGATGATGTTGTCTTTTAACCATGTGACTTGTATCGGTGTAGGAGGGTTAACATTGATGTTACTGCAAGTTAAGGTAAACGAGTTGCCTTCAAATACAACACTTGGAGATACAGTGACCTCCGGTTTGTCTAGATCTAATGAAAAATCAAATACAATTTCCATTTAGTTTGCGATATAGAACGAAGGTGTGAAAGCTGTTTTTTTCAGTGTACGATGATTTTGTTATTGTTATTGTAATTATTATCATTATTATTACTATTATTATTATTATTATTATTATTATTATTATTATTATTATTATTATTGCTATTATTATTATTATTGCTAGTATTATTGTTAATATTACTATTATTATTATTATTATTATTCATGCTATTGTTATTATTATTGTTATTATTATTATTCATTACTATTATTATGATGATTATTAATATTATTATTATTATTATTATTATTGTTATTATTATGATTGTTAATGTTATCGTTATCGTTTTAATTATGTTTTTCATTTTCTTTATCGTTATTCTTATATTTGTTGATACCATCGTCCTTGTCCATAATAGTAATACTAATAACATTAATTAATAAAAATATCCTCAGTTGTTTTGTTAATTTAAATCAGTAATATTTATTATTATTATTATTATTATTATTTACATGATTAAACTACAGGCTCAATATCAGTAATTAAAATTATTCTTACACAATACATTTAGCAACGATGGAGGGTCCAAAATGGCCGGAGGTTTATTATGAAAAATAACAAGACATTTGAACCTCCTTCCAGAATCATCTCGTGTTGGTGATTCGATGATCAGATTAGCTACTCCAGGTTCTTTTATCAACTTGTAACGCCCGTTTTCTTTCTTTGTAGAATCAATAATTGCTACGTCTACATTTTTTCCTGAGTTATCAACTTCGTTCCACATTATAGTGTCCACATTTCCTTCAACTGCTGAGTACTCACACGGCATAGTTACTTGACTGGAACCTTCTAATACATTTGCTATCAACACGCCCTTAATAAGAGCTTTCCTATCATCTGTTAATTAAAAAAAATATAAGTATATTGGGCCTAATAAACTAAGTTACAATAAGTCGCAAAAAAGGCGGCCTTTTGCGTGGCAGTGGCGTATCTACAGTGACGGTGGTGGTGGGGGGCGGGGAGGGGCGGAACGCACGATTGTATATTTTGGAACATTTATAAATGATATCATTACGTGTAATGTTTTATAATTACACACACACCCACACCCCCCACCCACACGCGCACACACACACACACACACACACACTAAAGTTCGAATCCGATGGGACAATTCATTTTGCATTCTACGGGATGCCAATACAACACTAGTATTTGACTCACATACTTTAACCCATAGAGCCTGTTCAATGGTTAAACAGAGATCAATGTGATACGCCCTTCTTTATTAGCAGAAATATAACACGTTACGAGGTGGGTGTGTGCGTGTGTATGTCATTATATATCAAAATATACACCCACCAGTTGTATGTAATCCTTTGGAAGTCTTATTCATAACACCCTTATTTGTATTTACAGTAATACTGCAAGTGTAATTCCCAAAATCTTGTTCAGATATGTTAAGAGTAACAAGTGTTGCTTTTCTTTCCTCTTCATCAGAATTGAATTTAGCTTTTGTAGTGTTGAGTTCACTGCCATCAAGGTACCATCTAACAATCGGTTTATTGTCTGGATTGATTATAGACCAACTGCAGTAAAAGGTAGCGCGGCTGTTACTATTCCAATTTATTGAAATAATAGGAGGATCCATATCTTTAACATGAAACAATAAAAAAATATCATAAATTTATTGTTTCGTAGATATACGAAATATGTATGAAGTCATCGTATTGAATTTGTCTTTTTATTTTGAGATAAGAATAAAGTAAAAAGAATTGATTGCTTAAATATGATGATGTAACCAATAACCTAAGCTTACTGACTACATATAACTTAATAAGAAGTTGATACCCAAGATGATTTTCTGCTCAACAACCTATTTTTTCAGTATACAATAAAGTTATAGTATGATATAATATAAATAATCTACTCACAATATACAATTAAATAATAATTTGATACCCGTGATGTTGTTTCATCTTTATGAACAACCTGGCAAGTGTATTTTCCTGCATCTCCTCTGTTTACAGGTTCAATAATCAAATCTCCGTAGGTTCGTTTAGTGACGTCAATGGAAAAGTGACTTTGATAGGGATGTACCAAGCTAACGATAATATTGTTAGCATGCGTTTCATTAGGCCCACCATCGAACCAGTTTACATACTCAATACTTGTTGCATTGTCCGCGTCTGAGTGTGCTGGGAGTGCTATTCGATTTCCCTCGATCGCATACAACTTGTTTTCATCTCCAGATGCTAAAGAAAAAAAGATTGCATAATTTGATGATAATATTTAAAATAATCATTTGCGAAAATCAAGATAATGCATACATCTGCAAACGAAATAATAGATGGATATAGATGCATGCTGTAAAGTTTTCAACAAAACTTAATGAGTTTTACCTTTAGATATTAGGCCTACTAATATCACAAATAAAAAATGGAATCCATCAATGTGTATACCGAAAAACCTCGAATTGAAACCCTGGACTTCTTTTTATTTTGCGAGCTTTGGATGAGCTTCTTTTTGAGATGGGCTACTTTTCGAGATGGGCTTCTTTTCGAGACAACTTTTGAAAAGTAATGAGGGGGCTTATTTTTAAAATGAATGCTGTAAATTTTGTGAATTTGTACAATTAAACAATAAATAATTAAAAGTCAGTGTAACATCAATTTGTATTATAAAGTGTATTTAACTGGCATTACATAACCTATTAACTGATGTATAAACCAATCTTGTTTTTAATTTATTTTGTTTTCTGACATTTATGCAGAGTGTATTTATACTGTACTATATACTGTACTTTCCGAGATAGTACGGTATATACACTCTGCATATAATACTGTACTTTCCGAGATAGTACAGTATATATCGTCGCTCACACCACGAACTAACACAATTCAATTGTGTTAGTTCGTAAAATCAAAAAAGCGCGTCAAAATACGCGCTATTGTCGTTAAGGACTTTTTGTGTGGTAAAGAATACAAAATTGCTTGACAACCAATACGCGCTCGTTTTGACGCGCTACTGTGATTTCACGAACTACCACAATCTACTTTGATTGTGTTAGTTCGTGATGTGAGCGACGATATGCAGAGTGTATATACTGTACTATCTCGGAAAGAAGCCTATGCTATTTGAAAAGAAGCCCATGGGCTTCTTTTCGATGCTAATTTTTAAAACTAAAGAGGGGGCTTAATTCGAGATGGGCTTCATTTCAAGATTAAGCCCACTTTGCTTCAATTCGAGGTTTTACGGTATCTTGTTTATATTAAGGCTCTCCCTTTTTTGTCTCTCACTGGATTTCCTCTAATAAAACCAGAAATCCTTTTAAAATGGCTAGTGTATTCTATAAAATAATGTAATAACAAAAAAAAAACAGCTATTATCTTATAAACTCAAATAAAGTCACTTACCTCTTGACGTGATAGCGGCTAATATTATAAAACACACTAATATGTTCATGTCAGTAAGCTTGACAAAGTTTGTATAATTTTGAAGATTATTTATAAAGCAAACCTTTATTAGAAAGTTATGGGCACCAACACTGATATGTTATATCACACGCATCAAACTACGAAATGCAAATATATGATTTGTTTTCTCTTTGTTCTTATAATCGTTCCAACAACATATTTTATGATTCTTATTTTTGCTTTCATTGTTTAATTTCCAAAAAACAAAAACAAAATAAAACCTTCTATAATGAAAATGATATAGAGACACTATAATAGTCTACAATATAATGTTATATTATTGTTATAATTAAACAAAAATAATAATTTATTACATAATTACAAAACTCTATATAGATATCGTTTTATTTAATCGTTTCATAACAAAGAGGAAGCTTAAAAGGTAAAAAAAAATCACCATTACGGAATTCGAACTCGAGATGTTCTGCTGTAATATTATTAACATTAAATTTGGGATGTGATGACGGCTATTATGATAGAATACACCTCGGTGTTTCCATCTCAGTAAACGAAATAAAAAGGTTATCAAACATTTACGCAACAAACAAAATGATACAGTATTCAATAAACTGCGTTAACTAAACTTTAAAGGCACGCTACTAAGAATAAGCCAATTGGTTTAGAGATTATATTTAGAATGTCATTAGAATTATTTAGTTACCACTGATTATATTTATCCTTACGATTTTTGTCGCTACAATTGGCATTATGGCCTAATGCAATAACTCTAAAATGTGTAATTGATTGACCAGCTAAATTGAAAAGTTCGGCTACTGGTTAATCAAGCTTAGAGGTTTTGATAGCTGATATTTGTTTTGTCATTCTCATACGAAGAGTGTTTTTTCTGACATGTTGTTTACCACAAATATTACAATATTTATGAGTTAAACGATATTATATATATATATAT